CCCTCGGGGACCCCGGGCCCGCGGGGGGGGCCCCCCCGGCCGCCCCGGGGGGCCCCCCGGGGCCCGGCCCGGGGGGGGGCCCCCCCCCCCGGGCCCGGCGCGGGGGCCGGCCCCGCGGGGGGCCCCGGGGGCCCCGGGGCCCGGGCCCCCCAGGGGCCCCCCCGGGGGGGCCGGCCCCCCCCGCCCGGCCGGGGGCCCCCGGGCCCGGCGGGGGCCGGGGGCCCCCCCCCCCCGGGGCCCGCCGGCCCCCGGGGCCCCGGGGGGCCCCGGGGGGGGCCCGGGCGGGGGGGGGCCGGCCGGGGCCCCCGGGCCCCGGGTGGGGTGGGCCCCCCCCCCGCCCGGGGTCCCCCCCTGGCCGCGGGGGGGGCCGGGGTTCCCCCCCGCCCCGGGGTCCGGCCCCCGGTTTTGGGGCCCGGGGGGGGGGCCGGGGGGGGGCCGGGCCCCCCTGGGGGCCCCCCCCCGGGGGGGCGGGGCCCCCCAGGCGCCCCCCCGGGGGGCCCCCCCGGGCCGGGCCCGGGGCCCGGGGCCCCCCCGCACCGGGGGGCCGTCGGCGGGGGGGCCCCGGGGCCCCGGGGGGGGGCCCTGGGCCCGGGGGGGGCCCGGGCCCCCCGGGGGCCCCCGGGGGCGCCCCCCGGGCCCGGGGCCCCCCCCCCGCCACCCCGGGCCCCCCGGGCGGGGCCCGGGGGCCGGGGCCCGGGGGGGCCGGGGGCCCCCCCGGCCCCCCCCGGGGGGGCCCCCCCGGGCCGGGAGCCAGGGCCCCCCCGGGCCGGGGGCCCGGGCCCCCGCCCGGGCCCCCCCCCGCGGGCCGCGGCCGGGCCGGGGGGCCCCCGGGGGCCGGGGGGGGGCCCCGGCCCGGCCCCCGCCGGGGGTGGGCCCCGGGGCCGGGCCCCCCGGGCCGGGGTGCGGGCCCCCGCGCCGGGGGGCCCCCCCCCCGGGGGCCCCGGGGGGGTTGCGGGGCCGGGCCCGGGGGGGCCCCGGGGGCCCCCGGGGGGCGCCGGGCTGGGCCGGTGCCCGGGCGACCGGGGGCCCCGCTCGCCGCCCCCGCCCTCGCCGCAGCGGGCCAAGAGGGCCCGGGCCGGGCGGCCCACCGCGCTTGGGCGCGGGCCCCCGGCGGCCGCACCGCTCCCCACGCGGGCACGGGCGGCGGGCCGCGGGCCCCGGGGCCCCGCCGCGCGACGGCCCAGACCCGCGGCCCCCGGGAGCCTCGACGGCGGACACGCGCCCCCCCCCAACCGCGCGCGCGCGCCCGGGGACGGGCGGGCGGGGCGGCGCCCGGGGGCCCGGGCGTGGGCGCCCGCCCGCGGGACGCCCACGCACGGGCGCGCGCCCGGGGCCGGGAGGGCGCCCCAGCCGGCCGACGGGCCGCGGCAGGGGCCGGGGCGCAGCCCCACGCCGCGGGGCACCGGCACCGGCGGAGCAGGGGGCGCACCCGGCCCGGTGCGGGCGGCAGCCCGGGGCCGGGGCCGGCAGCCATGGAGGACAGGCGCGGGACAGCGGGCAACGCACGGGCAAGAGAAGAGGAGACCGGGAAAGGATCGGGACCGCAAGAAGCACTGTAGGGAAGGGCGGCGGAAAGGACCAGAGCGGGGGCAGGGACCAGAGAGGGGGAGAGGGAGGACCATGGGAGAGCGGAGAGGGGAGGACGGAGATCAGGGACCCCGCAGAGGGCGGGACAAAAGAAAACAGGGAAGGGGTGAAAAAAAAAAACGGGCCCCCCAGGGGGAGGGGGAAAGGGAAGGCGAGCGACCCGGGGCAGGGGGAAGCCCGGGAGAGCAGGGGGGCGAGGAGAAGGCTTACCAGGACGGAGGGGGCAGGGGGGGGCAAGGAAGAAAATGACAGTGGGGGCAAGGAGAAAAGGCAGAGGGCAGGCAATACAAAACGCGGACATGAGGGCAGGGGATATGCGCGGGAGGGGAAACGCGGGAGGTGTGGACCACGGAGACGGACAGGAGGGGGGCAAAGGACCGGGAGGGGGGCGGCCGCCGGCCGAACAAGGCAGGCAAGGCGAGGTGGCGCAAGGCGGAGGAGAACGGGGGAAGAGAAACGGCGGCACGCGGAGGCAAAGTGCCGGGGCGAGGCAGGCGCCGAAGCGGCCAGAAGCGCCGGGAACGAACAGCGGAAAAAGCCGCACCCGCCCGGCCAGGGGCGGGGCGGGGGGCGCGGGGGGCGGGGGGCCAGGAAGGAGGACCGCCGAGAGACGAACCTGGCGGCGGGCCAAGGGCGGGAAGGAGGGCAGAGCAACAGGCAGAGGGGGGGGCGACAGCCGGAAAAGGGACGCACGGCGACGGCCAGACCGGAGCAAGGGGAAGCGCGACGGCGGGGCAAAGGGACAGGGAACGGGCGGGGACAGAAACCAGAAACAGTGCGAACAACCGGGGGGAGGCAACGGAACGTGGGCGGAGATGGGGGAGAGAGGAGGAGAAAAACCGGGAACGAGGGCGGGACAAAACAACACGGGGAAGGAACGGAACCCAGGGGGAAAGAAAACACAGAGGGGATGTGGAAAAAAAGAGGGAAGAGAAGGGGGAGTAAGCAGAGCAGGACAGGGGGAGACAGGGGGGGCAAAGCAGAGGAGGAACGGAACAGGAGAGAGCACACGACGAGGAGGGAAAAGGAGACGGGGAGGAGAAAGACGGGGCGCCGGAGGGAGCGCGGGAAGGGAGGGGGGAGGGAAGAGGGGACGGGCATAGCGGAGCGGGCGGGGGCGAAGAGGCCGAGGAGAGGCTGAGGAGGTGGCCAGCCGGGCAAGGGCCAAAACGGAGGCGACGGGGCCGCGGAAAAAAGTGGGGGAGGCCGAGGGACGAAGAGAACGACGCAAACCGGGGGGTAAGGAAGGGGGGCGTGGGGGGGGAAGGGCCGAGAACCAGTGCTGAGGGAAGGGGGAGCGGGAGAGGCGGGAGAAAGGGAGGGAGAGAGACAAGGGCGGGAGCAGGCGGGGCAAAAGGGAACGAAATGGGGGATGGGAGAAGAGGGGGAGGAAAACAGAGGGGGAAAGAAGCGGGCGGAGAGCAAGGGGGGAGCTAGAGCGGGAGGGGGCAGCAACCAGGGGGGGGGGGCGAAACCAGAAAGGGAAGGGGAGGAAGAGGCGGAAAAAACAGAGGAAGCGAAACTAGAAGCAGGAGAAGGAGAGAGAAAAGGGCAGCGGCCGAACGGTGGGGAGGAGAGAAGGATGAAGGCAGAGAAGGGAGAAGGGAGAGACAGGGAAGGGGGGAAGAGGGGCGAGAACAGAGGGGCGGGAAAGAGGGAAGGCGCGGAGGCAGCCGGCGAGAGGGCGAAAAGGCGAACAGAGAAAGGACAGGGGGGGGGCAAGCGAGGAACGAAGAAAACCGAGGGGAGAAGAGGCGAGGGAGAGAAATAGGGCTAAACGCGAGGAACGGGAGGGGTACGCGAAGGACGCAGCAGGACGGAAAGGGGAGCCAACCAGAAAGAGAAGAAGGGAAACAGGGATGGGGGCAAGGGAGGAGCAGGTGGCCGGGGAAGGGACGAAGGGTGGGAAAAAGAAGACGAAGAGGAGGAAAGAGGCGGGAGGGGGGGAGAAGGTAGAACACAGGGAACTGCGAGGGCAGGCAGGGGCCGAGGCGGAAGAGGGGGGGGTGAAGAAGAGAACGCTAGGGACAGAGGAGCGAGGGAACGGGAGGAGGCGAAAGACGGGGGCGGAAGACGACAACGCCGGGAGGGCAGGGGGGGCAAGGGCGGGGAAAAGCGCAAGGGGGAAAGGGGGAACGGAAGAACGGGGGAATGAGACTCCGGATAAAGACAAAAGGGCAGGGAAGGGAGGAAGTCGGGAGGGGAGAACAGATGAGACAAAGGGAGGGCGGGGCAGACAAGGGGAAAAGCGAAAAGCGGAAGAAAGGGGAGGGCAAAGGGGGCAGGGAAGAAAGAAGAAAACCAAGACAAAGTGCGGAAGGCGAAAACCCCAGCGAAGAGAGACGGGGTGGGGAAAACATGCAAGGGCAGGGCGACACCAGAAGTCGAGACAGACGGGGGCCGAAGGGAAACAGGGGAAAAGCAAAAGGGACGAAGGGGAAAGAAGGGTCGGCGAGAAACGAGAGAAAAAGGGCAAGGAAAAGGAGCAGGGAACGGCGCCGCCGGTGTGAAAGAGGACACGGCGGGGGGAAAAGCAGGCGGAACGAGCCAAAGGAAAGCTGACCAGGAAGGGGGCAAAAGGGGCAAGGGGGGAGGGGACGAGGGGGGAGCAACCCGGGGGAGGGGAACGAGGCGGGGCGCGGGCACAGAACCGAGGGGTGGCGAGAAGGGGGCAGGGGGGGAGGGAGAGGTGGACAGGAAGGAGAGGCGGGCGGGGCGGGAGAAAACAGCGGGGAAGCGGAAACAAGGGGGCGGATAGCAGCGGAGAGGGAAAAAGGGGGGAGGGGGGGGCGGGGGCAGTGCAAGGGAACAGGCGAAGAACGTAACAGGGAGACGGGGAGGGGGGAGAAAAAGGGCAAAGGGAAAAAAGGAGGGCAGCGAGAGGAGCGAAAGGAGGGACCGCGTGGAAAAGAGAGTAAAACGGGGAGAAGAAGCGGGAGGGAAAGAAAAAAAAAAGAGGACGGCAGCGAGGCCGGTCGAAAGGGGGGAGTCAACCGAAGAAAGGGAGGAAGGGACAGGAGTGGAAGCGAGCGACAGGGACGGAAGAGAAGGCAAAAGGGAGGGAGAGCGGAGAAACGAAGCAGCAAGAGAGGAGAGGACAGGCAGGGAAGAGACGAGAAAGGAGCGGGAAAGAACACGGAAAGGGGGGCAAGAGGAGGGTGGGGGAGCAAGAGGCAGGCCAGGACAGAGGGGCAGGGAGTCAGGGGGACAAATAGCAGAGGGGGGAGGGGCGAGAAGGGACCGGGGGGCGAGAAGGAAAGGGGGGAGGGAAAGAGCGAGGGGACGGGGGTGGGGAAGTGGAAAGAAACAAGAGGGGAGGGGGGGCGACAACGACGGAAGGAGGGCAGGGGAAGAGCCCGCCGGAGACGAAAAAATGGAGGAGAAAAGCGCAGGGGCCAAAAAAAGCGAGGGACGGGGGGGGGAGAAGGACCGCGAAGGGGGGGGGGCGGGAAGGCGAGAAAAAGAATACGGGGGAAGGAAAGGGACGGACGGGGGCGAACCAACCGAGAGAAGGAAAGCAGGGGGGCAAAGGGGATAGGGGAGGTACCAAGGGCAAACGGGCAGGGGGACGAGAGGGGGAGGGGCAAACGAGGGGCAGCCCGGCAAGTGTCAAGAATGAGGCGTCACGAGCGGAGGGGGGGGACCACAGAGGGGGAGGGTGGCAAAAAGAACAAGCCGCAGCGGGGGAGAAAAGAGGGTAAAAGGTGACAAGGGGGAGGACGGACGCCGAGACGGGGAGACGCGGGGCGGGAGGAACCAGAACGGACGCAACCCACAGAACGCGGAGAGAGGGAGCGAACCCGGGAACGATGCAGCCGAGGGCTGAACACCGAAAACCGGGCGCAGCGGAGGGAGCAAGAACCAGGGAGACCAGACCAGGGGACAAGAGGGAAGACTAGCAAGGAGCAAGAAAGCGCGGTGAAAAAAAGAGAACGGCGGGGGAGGGAAAAGATGGGGCAAGGGGAGAAGAAAGAAAGAAGAGAGGCGGCAATAGCGGACGCAGGGGAGGAAGGAGAGGGGAACGGGGGGAGAGGGGGTGGCCAAAATCCAGTCACGGCCGGCGGAAGCAGGGCCGGAAGGAGGAGGCAACCGAGGGCCGGGGAAAGCCCAGAACGGGAGGCAAGGGGCGGGGCCAAAGGGGAAAGCGGGGCCAATAACAAGGGCGGCGGGGGAGAAGACGGTGCGAGCAAAGAAAGCAGGGCGGACAGGAGGGCGGAGCAACAGGGGAGGCAAGGGCAAGGGCAAGACAGCGAGGAGAAAGAGAAGGCAAGAGGAGAAAGGGCGGGGGAAGGAGGGGGAAGAGACGGGTAACGACAGAAAAAGGGGGAACGAGAGGCGGCGAAAGGACACACGCGCGCCGCAAAACGGACGCAAGTGGACGAAGAGGCACCGCCAAAACGGCCACAGGGGGACGAGAGGCGACGCAAAAAGGCCAACACGCCGAACGGACACCGCGAACGGGGGGGCGGAGGGCGGGGGGCGGGGGGACACGGCCGGCAGAGAGGAGAGAGAGGAGAGGGAACCGAGGGAGTGTGTGTGTATATGTCTGTATATATGGAGGGAAGCAGAGGGGGAAGGAAAAGCAGATGGAGGCGAGGCCGAGGGGGCGAGCAGAAAGAGGGGGGGAGCAACGGAGGGCAAGAAAGGGAGGAGGGAAGGACACGAAGAGAAGGGGGCGAGGAAGCACAGAAGAGAAAAGAAGAACGGGAAACGGGAACAAGAGGCAGGGGGCGGGGACGCGGCCGGGTGACGAGAGGGGAAACGCGAACAGGAGCGCGCGGGACGCGAATGGGGGAGAGCGCAAAAGGAACGGGAAGGCAAAAGGGGGAGGACACGAGGGGAAGAGGGAGAGGAGGGGAAGAGCGGGGAGGAAAGGGCGGGAGGAACACGCCGGCGCCGCGGGGGAGGGGAGAAAGGAGAACAAGCGGCGAAGCGGAAAGGTCGCGCAGAGCGAACACACCGAACGCGCGAGTCGGCAAACGGGGTGAGAAAGACGAAAGGAGCAAGGAGGACGAGATACGAAGGCGAAAGGCAAGAGGGGCAAAAAGGGCCTCAAAACAGGGCCCAGGGCGAAGAAGACCAAGCGGGGCGGGCGAGGGGGCGGGGGAACGGGGCAGGGCAGACGGGGCAGGGGGGCAACGGAGGGGCCGGGGCGGGGAAAGAAAAAGGGGGGCGGAGAGGCAAGCAGAGGGCAGGGGGAAGGAAAGAGGGGGGAGGGTGGGGGGGGAAAAAGGAAAAGGGAGAAAGGCCGGGTGCAGAGCAGCGGGAGGCCGTGGAGAAAGGCAGGGGGACGGGGAAAGAGAAAAGAAGGAGGGGGAGGGGGGAAAGGGAAGAGGGGGAAAAACAGAAGCGAAAAACAGAACCAAAAAAAAAAAAACCAACGCCGACACGGGGAGGCGGGGCAGGAAGGAAAAAAAAAAGCAGGGCCCGGGAGGAAAGAGGGGAGGCGGGCAGGGGGGCCACGGTAGGCCCCGCAGAGGGTGGGGAGAGAAGGCAAAAGAGGGGGGGAAAACAAGAGCGGGAAGGAAGGACAGAGGAGAGACAAAGCATGCAAACAGGCAAAACACAGGGAGCAGGGGCCACGCCGCCGCGGAGGCCCGGAAAGGAGGCAAAGCAGAAAGGGAGGACAGGGGGAAACCCGGGGAACAGGGAAAACAAGTGCCAAGGGCAAAACCGCAAGGAAACCAGGGTGACGGCCCCAGGGCGAGGGGGGGGACAAGGAGCGGAAGATGAGCAGAAGACAACCGCAAGGGACAGGAAGGAGGAGAAGCAACCGGAGGAAGAAAGCAGCGCCGAACGAAGGTCGAGACGGGACAAGGAAACATAAGAAGGGGAACGGGAGTCAGGGGGGAAAGGAACGGGACAGGGGGAGGCGAGGAAAGGGAAAGGCAGGGGCGGCGGGGGGAGGAAAACAGAGGAGCTGAACAAGGAACCACAAGGGAAAGGAGAGGCGGAAGCACAGAAACCGGGCGCGCAGAAGTGGGAAGAAAGCCAGGGAAGAAGAAAGCAACAGAAAGGCGCGGAAAGGTCGGGGTGGGGGGCGCCAGAAGGGCAGAAAAGGTGAAGGGGGGAGAGGGAAACCAAAGGGGGGGGGGAGGGCCCCAAGGCTGGGGCCCAGGGGGAACGGTGAGGAAAAGGGGCGAGAAGAACGAAGGGCATACAAAGCGGAGAGGCAAGGCAAGGGGGAGGGGACGGAAAAAAGGGCGAAAAAAAAAGGGCGGGCAACGGGGAGGTGAACGCCAGACCGCGCGTAGGCAGAAAGCGAGCGGGCAAACGCGCGCGGCCACGGGGAATGGGTGGAGGGGAAAGGCGCGGAAGAAACCGGAGGAATGGTCGAAATGAGGGGGGGGAACACGCGAAACCGGGGGGGGAAACACAGAGGGGACAGCAGGGAGCGGGATGCAGTGGAGCGGACGGAAGCAGGGGAGAGCTATGAAAGAAGGAAACAAGAAGGAGAAAGGCGGGTGCGACGGCAGGTGCGGAAACGACGGGGGGGGAAAAGGAGGGTCGCCGGGGCGGTGGACAAGGCTGGACGCAGGGGGAGCGGCCCGGAAGGGGCGGCGGTGGGGGTACAGAGAAAGGGAAGGAACGCGCGGAAAAAAAAGGGAGCGACGGGAGCAGGGGAACGAACAGAGGAGGCCGCGGAAGAGGGCGCGACCAGGAGGGGGGGGGGCGGACAACGGAAAAAAGAAAGGTCGAGAGGACACGAGGGGAAGAACACGGGGACGGGACGGCAGTGGCGCGAGAGAGAAACAGAGCGGGAAAGCGCGCGAAGGGATGCGGGAACACGAGTAGGCGGCGGCAGGGAAAAGGAAGGCAGGGAACAGTGGGGGACGGGGCGGAGGAGAGGAGGGGAGAAAGGAGAAGAGGAGAGGCGGGGGAGAGGAAGAACGAAGGGTAAACGCGGTGGAAGGCAACGGCGGGGGCCAAAGGAGGAGCGCTACGACAGGGCAGAAGGAGAACAGGCGGAGGCAAAGAAGGAAAAAACGCGAAAACGGGCCGGGAGGGGAGCGCAAGAAACACAGCGGGCAAAAGAACAAAAGGGAGTCAGAAGAACGCTGGGACAGCGGCAGAGGGAGCCAGAGAACGCGGGGACAGGGGAAAAGCGGGAGAGAGCGGGGGAAAGCCGGGGGCCGTGGAAGGGTGGCAATGGGGGCAGGAGAAAGGATTGAGTGAGGAGGGAGGGCAAGGAGGAAAGACGGCAGGCAAGACGGGGGAAGGGGCAAAAGAAGGGGGAAAGGGGACGGAAAACGACCAGAGGGGAAGCAAGAGGCGAGGAAAAGGCCGGGGGAAGGAGGGGTGGGACACACAAACAAGGGGAAGACAGGGCGGAAGAAGGGGGAAATGTTGTAAGTTCCGAAGAACTCCGTGACAGTTATCACAAGAACTCCTGAACAAGTTATCATAAGAACTCCATCCTTCGTGTAACACTTCCTCCCCCGTGGTACTAGTTTCTTTATAGATAAAAGTTTTAAGTGCAGCTGTTGAAAACGTTGTTGTTTTAAATTTCACCTCATCCTAGCTTTCAAAGATTCTTATTTTATTTCTCATGAAAAGTAAGTCACGTAATAGTTGGTTCACATCATGTAAATCAAGAACAAATCTATTTATTTTGAACCTAATGTTTATTTATCCTATTTATGAAATACAAACGTTAGCAAGATGTTTACAAAGTCGCATTCATACCTGGGCGTTTTAATTGTTAAATGTCTTCTGCTACACTGAAATAATACAATGAAGTATTTTATAGGTGTATGACGACATCATTATAGTATTTTATTTACCATTTGACTGCTTTTGAATGCAAACAAACACTGCTTTTGAACAACAACAAAAAAACCAAATCATTTTTAGGTGAATTGATTTTATGTAAATCGTAAGAGGTAGTTTTATATTTCATGATATTTGATGTCAAGCATCATAATCAATTCCTTTATATCTGTTTAAATATTGTAAAAGTAGTAACGTCATAAAACTTCTATTTAACTTGAAAAAAATAGTAACCAGTTACAAAAATTAATTAATATCCTGTGAAAACTATGATTGATATAAATGTAATGTGATAGTAAGATATTTTATTACTATGATACAACGCCCGGTTATATTATCAGTCGTTCTTTTCTGCTGGATAAATCTGTTCTCAATAAACATGGGATGTCAGTAGTAAAGCTTTTCAAGGTATTGTCGTTTTTTGATTATTTTATATTGATTGTGCATTATTGCTAAAGCAGCAATTAAGCCTCCAAATTCATGCTAAATTTCATGAAAATTTTGAAAATGTATCTAAAAGTAAAATAATGTGAAGTGAACAAAGAAAGAACTTTACAAATTGCAAGCGACACTCACAAACTACGTAAATTACCAAAAGAAAGGTCAAAATATGCATAAATAGCACTTAATTACTGCGTTAGTCATGCAAAATCGGTCAATAATCGCACATAACATGTAAATTATAACTTGCTTTAGTAAATTTTTCTTAAATTTGATTTTTTTGGATAATTTTTTGCTAATCGGGAGGCATGCATCTTTAAATCAATAATCAAATTGCATTTGAAATTCATGTCCAAAGATAAACTTTGATTTTAGCTTGACGTTCCGAAGAACAGTGGAACTAAGTTTGACTGTCCTTACCATTTGGTTAAAGTTTTGCGTGCAACTTCAAACAAGTATTTGAATGTAAATTTTTTAAGACCCATACTTCTGATTTTGATTTTGACTAAATAATGGCCCTTTGATAACTTTCAAAACTCCTAATTTAAGTTTAAATTCCCATTTTCGTCACTTAAAGCAGGTGACTGCATTAATGCTAAATATATTTGATGCAACTATATCATCAATTTAGATACATACTTTATATTATCAAACAACATCAGTGCATTCAGATTTGATTTTTTTTTATTTCAGGTTTAAGTTATCAAACATCATTAACAATTAACAGTCAATAAAGTTATACAATGTGAAAAGAAAATAATACTAGTATCGTCTAATATTTCTTAGCTTTTGTTATTTATTTGAAAAATAATAAATGAGTGAAACACTTTTCACTTTTGAAAAAGAACTAACATTAAAACCGCCAGAACAATTAAGTACAGAGCTTAATTGGCGTACATCGTTAGCGACAGTACGACAAGACGAAAGTCCGACAACGCGCCGTTTTGCGTATTGTCCTGTTGTCGCTAGCGCCAACATGTCCTGTTGTCGCTAGCGCCAACACGACGCACAAAAGCGTTACAAGTCAGACACCATACATAGATGTTTTTCATCAATTACAGTCTCTTGCTGATATCTAATGTCGCATCGAATCAAATTATCATTATCGTCATGTGTGATCTTCTAAATACATGACACCAGTCAAACTCACAGGATGTCGTCATGTGTGATCTTCTCAATACATGACACCACTCAAACTCACAGGATGTCGTCATGTGTGATCTTCTCAATACATGACACTACTCAAACTCCCAGGATGTCGTCATGTGTGATCTTCTCAATACATGACACCACTCAAACTCACAGGATGTCGTCATGTGTTATCTTCTCAATACATGACATCACTCAAACTCTCAGGATGTCGTCATGTGTGATCTTCTCAATACATGACACTACTCAAACTCCCTGGATGTCGTCATGTGTGATCTTCTCAATAGATGACATCACTCAAACTCCCAGGATGTCGTTATGTGTGATCTTCTCAATACATGACACCAATCAAACTCCCAGGATGTCGTTATGTGTGATCTTCTCAATACATGACATCACTCAAACTCCCAGGATGTCGTCATGCATGTGTTATCTTCTCAATACATGACATCACTCAAACTCCCAGGATGTCGTTATGTGTGATCTTCTCAATACATGACACTACTCAAACTCCCAGTATGTCGTCATGTGTTATCTTCTCAATACATGACACCACTGAAACTCCCAGGATGTCGTCATGTGTTATCTTCTCAATACATGACATCACTAAAACTCCCAGGATGTCGTCACATGTGATATTCTCAATATATGACATCACTCAAACTCCCAGGATGTCGTCATGTGTGATCTTCTCAATACATGACACCACTCAAACTCACAGGATGTCGTCGTGTGTGATCTTCTCAATACATGACACCACTCAAACTCCAAAGATGTCGTCATGTGTGATCTTCTCAATACATGACATCACTCAAACTCCCAGGATGTCGTCATGTGTGATCTTCTCAATACATGACACACTCAAACTCCCAGGATGTCGTCATGTGTTATCTTCTCAATACATGACATCACTCAAACTCCAGGATGTCGTCATGTGTGATCTTCTCAATACATGACACTACTCAAACTCCAGGATGTTGTCATGTGTGATCTTCTCAATACATGACACCAGTCAAACTCCCAGGATGTCGTCATGTGTGATCTTCTCAATACATGACACCACTCAAACTCCCAGGATGTCGTCATGTGTGATCTTCTCAATACATGACACCAACTCAAACTCCCTGGATGTCGTCATGTGTTATTTTCTCAATACATGACATTACTCAAACTCACAGGATGTCGTCATGTGTGATCTTCTCAATACATGACATCACTCAAACTCCCAGGATGTCGTCATGTGTGATCTTCTCAATACATGACACCACTCAAACTCCCAGGATGTCGTCATGTGTGATCTTCTCAATACATGACACCACTCAAACTCCCAGGATGTCGTCGTGTGTGATCTTCTCAATACATGACACCACTCAAACTCCCAGGATGTCGTCATGTGTGATCTTCTCAATACATGACACCACTCAAACTCCCAGGATGTCGTCATGTGTTATCTTCACAATACATGACATCACTCAAACTCCCAGGATGTCGTCATGTGTGATCTTCTCAATACATGACACTTCTCAAACCCCAGGATGTTGTCATGTGTGATCTTCTCAATACATGACACTACTTAAACTCCCAGGATGTTGTCATGTGTGATCGTCTCAATACATGACACCACTCAAACTCCCAGGATGTCGTCATGTGTGATCTTCTCAATACATGACACCACTCAAACTCCAGGATGTCGTCATGTGTGATCTTCTCAATACATGACACTACTCAAACTCCCAGGATGTCGTCATGTGTTATTTCTCAATACATGACACCACTCAAACTCCCAGAATGTCGTCATGTGTGATCTTCTCAATACATGACATCACTCAAACTCCCAGGATGTCGTCATGTGTGATCTTCTCAATACATGACACCACTCAAACTCCCAGGATGTCGTCATGTGTGATCTTCTCAATACATGACACTACTCAAACTCCCAGGATGTTGTCATGGGTGATCTTCTCAATATATGACACCACTCAAACTCCCAGGATGTCGTCATGTGTGATCTTCTCAAAACATGACACCAATCAAACTCCCTGGATGTCGTCATGTGTGATCTTCTCAATACATGACATCACTCAAACTCCCAGGATGTCGTTATGTGTGATCTTCTCAATACATGACACTACTCAAACTCCCAGTATGTCGTCATGTGTTATCTTCTCAATACATGACACCACTCAAACTCCCAGGATGTCGTCATGTGTTATCTTCTCAATACATGACATCACTCAAACTCCCAGGATGTCGTCATGTGTGATCTTCTCAATACATGACACCAATCAAACTCCCTGCATGTCGTCATGTGTTATTTTCTCAATACATGACATTACTCAAACTCCCAGGATGTCGTCATGTGTGATCGTCTTTTTTTTTACACATGATCTTCTTTTTATATCAAACCACTGAAACTTTCAGGACGTCGTAATTTATAACTTCATAAAACTTATTTAAACCTATTTCCAGACATATAAAATAATTTTAAGAAACCGATTTACTTTACTTTATTGAGACTTGATGGTAAAGGGGATTTTTATTCACGGTGAAATAAAACCAAATTAATTACAGAGACAGATGTCCTTTTTTTGTTAAAATCGAACTGAAATTAAAAAAGGCGGAACAATCGCCAAGGTGTCCCGATTGGGTTATTTTCGAATTGACGACGTATAATAAAAAATATTTCTTTAACCCCCCCCCCCCCCAAAAAAAAAATAAATAAATAAATAATTAATTGATAATCAATCGGATGCCTGAAGTAGCTCAGACAGGACGACGTAATGCTTTTCAATAATCAATTGGAAAAACAAACTTTATAGATAACGGTTATTGTTTTCAATTTGTTTTCATGATTATTGACAAATAGTTCTAAGTTATCAAAAATCGGTGTATTTGTTCTTAATGTAAAACAATAAAAAGCGACATCCTGGAAACACGAAGCGTTGTATTAATGTATAAGTAACTTGCCAATCCTATAAAATTTGTCTTTTTGTAGTTAATGAAGAAGGAAGAGACCTGTTGACAATTGGAAGAAAGAGTGATTAAGTCGTGGGAATATCGGCATGACGTATACCACTAGATAAAAGGTTTTTCATTTTATAGTGTCGTGGAAGTGCTCATGTGTGATAAATATAAAAAAAAATCTTGACATAAATTAGCATATGTTTTAATTCTGATGTTCATTTAGTTATCTGGAACGTGATTGAAAAAGTACTCTGGTATGAAGACGGAAAGCAATTCACTATTCTCACTGCTGGCTAAAACACGTGACACACGTGCAGAATTTGAATGTCAGCAACATGTTCATTGGTTCCGGAACAAATCCTTCCTGTTTCGTTCGCTTAAACCAGGTAAGTTAAAACGACTTTCTTATTATGTATATTTATTCCTTAATTTATTTTGTTGAAAACGACTGTATTCCCGGGTCAGGTAATTTGTTAAAAATTTAACTGTAATTCTTTTATAATTATAATTTATAATAAACGTTGATAAATTAAAAATTGTTTTCAGAATATGTATGATTCCGACATTATTTTGTTTATTTTAGTTCACATGTAACACCTTACCGTCTTGAAATATTAGCAAACGGTGTTTACGTATGCCAAACTCCGCGCACCGGTTACGCTACGGCCAGTAACTAATCCTGTAAGGGGCGATCACTGCGTAGAAGATTGTACTTATGCAATTGAAAACATTCATATCGTCAAAAATCTTGGATGGCAGAGAGGGAAGATCACTACAATAATAATAATAATAATAATAATAATAATAATAATAATAATAATAATAATAATAATAATAATAAAATCTTTATTTATAGAAGGTAACATACAGATTTTACACAGTAAGAAGTAACAAAGAAAAAAATGTAGATCGGTACAAAATTTAAAATCTTTTTGTACAAACAAATAAAAATGAAATATATTTTCTTGAATGTAAAGGTTATTAATTTTCATTCATTCATCCGACTGACACTCATATAAAAATCATAGTAGTTAAAGCAGCACGCCTCCAGATTCATGTTAATTTTCATAAAAATTTTAGATATGTATTGTATGTAATGTATGTAAAAATAAAATAATGTGAGGTGAACAAATAAAATAATAACATATTGCAATCGGCACTTACAATCTTCGAAAATTACCAAAAAGTGGTCAACATATACAAAAACCGCCCTTACTGCATTAGTAACACATAAAATACTGCAAAATCAGTGTAACCGCACATGACGTGTAACTTTGAATGTTTTTACCTTTCTTCAATGTTTTGAGCATTTTTCTCAATATAGACTTTCTTGAAATATTTTAGGCTTATCTAGAGGCGTGCAAGCTTTAAAGATTAACTCGTAATTATTTATTTTTTTAAAAGAGAGAGAAAAGAGAAGTCAATTTTCATCATGTATCTATCTATATACTTAGAAAATAAATTTTACAGTTGCTTTTGAAAGATTGTAAAGCCGAACATTGTTTGATAGTAATAGGTAATTTATTACAAACGTCAATACTGAAATAAGAAAAAGAATCCTTTAAATAATTTGTATGAGGTATACTTTTCAGGTGAGCGATTATGCGTAAATTATGTAATTCATTGTGAGAGAAACGAAATATTTCACTCATATACAACGGTACCAGATTGTTTAAAGATTTATACACCATAATTGATGTGTGGTATTTTACCCTTAAATTGAATTTCAGCCATTTAAGTTTATTAAAAAGGTCTGATATTGGTGAACGTGTATACTTTTGGCAGCTGTTTTTTGTTTTTTTGTTGTTGTTGTTTTTTTTTTGTTTTTTTTTGTTTTGTGTTGTTTTTTTGGGGGGGGGGGTTGAACTTGATGTATGAGTTTCCCCATACCGTACAACAATAATCATGTAATAAATATCTTTTTTACTTCGTCAGTAAGGTTAAAAATGATATGTTTGGTGAGGGCAATTTTGTATTTAGTTTTTTTGCAAACAGAGTCTATTTGATAATGTCACTTTAATGTATTATCTACATAAATGCCCAATAACTTTTTGACTGAGAAGTATCATTTACTTTTAGTAGGAGAGGATTACATTTCTTCACTTTTTTGAAAAACTAATAATCATGCATTTTGTTTTATTGGGTGCAAGGACATATTATTAATAGATATATTGAAACTGGGCGATAATTTTCAGTCTCTACTTCCTGATTTAAACACAGGCAAGACACGGGCTTCCTTAAATTTATCAGGAAAAATACCCAAATGAATGCTCTTATTTATAATAGATGTTATGCAAGGATTAACAGTATCCCCAGAACTTTTTTTTTAAATTGCGCGGCAAATACCTTCAAGGTCTTAGATTTATTTGTGTTCAATTTTGAAATAATTTGCTTTACTTCTATGGTCGTTATATAAGAAATATCAAATACGTGAGAGCCTAGCAATGTATTCATTTTTCCTTTCAAAGTTTTGGTAATGATATCTGAAATATTGTTAAAATGCTTATTTAGTTCATTGATAATTTCTAATTCATTCTCAATTACTCCATCATTTTTTTCTATTTTAGACGGAAGTATTATCCGTTTAGTTTGATTGATGTTAGAAGCTTCTTTAAATTTTTCCATACATACTTTGAGAAACAGAGTAAAATAAAATTTAAAGAATTATTTGGATTTGTAATTGTTTTAGTAATATCTATAACAAATTGTTAAAAGATCACGTTAAACATTTTCTTCACGAAAATTTTTAGTTATTCTATATTTTATCACCTTTTGCAAGCCATATTTTTTATTTTTGTTAGTTTTAGTTGAATAAACCATGCATACAGGAAAATGATCAATTATAGATAGAGATGTCATCACTTCTACTGACGTATTTCACGGTGATAGGGCGTTTACCACAACTTTATTCGTTTGAATAAGTTCGAAAAAAAATCTATATAGATACCATTGCACTTACCTAACTGGCATTATTTACATAGACCAGACCTTCAGAAGTTTCCATAAAATAACATATGATAACAGCAACATTACATACGACAGTTACTTATAAAGTATGGTGCAAATGAAAACGGTTCCAGTATTTATTGGTCAAACGGAAAAAGAATGCGGTGTTTGAATTCAGTGTTGTACGGTGCTCCAATATTCGAGTCAATAGGCCTTTTTTCAACATATATTCCCTAAAATTTACAATAGAAACACACAATTTTGTATGGATCTTGAATTTATGCCTAACCATAATGTATACACGAGCTCGTAAGGTCATAGAACAAATACATCGTTGTTTTAACACAGGTTTTTGTGACAAGTACGAGTCATGTTGAGGTAGACACGATCTTTTGTAAACACTATTTCTTCGAAGTATGTAACTTTTTGTGAATTGTGTTGTGCTAGATTAACGATAAATTGTTTCAAAAATTCGATAGAGTACTTAAACAATTGGAATAATTTAGCAATGTCCAGCAGTAAGATATTTTGTAAGCTATTACCTGCAATTTGGTTATCCCGCCATTAATATTTTGTCCAGAAATATATGGTGTCTCGGTCAGAAGGATGATATTTTGACGTTGCGCGGAAAAGTTGTGGTAAACGCCCTATCACCGTGTATTTTCTGTACCTAGTTTATTTCCTATACCACAAATAAGCTGAGGGAAAACGTTTTAACTGTTTTCCATTAATTAAACAAGTTTCAAGTTGTTTTTTTCAACTAGGCCCATATGGGCATCAGTTTTGAAAACAGCAAAATTTCACAAACAAATGAGCATTGTAACACCGCACTTTGGGGTCAAACGCACTTTGGGGTCCAACGCACATTGGGGTCAAAATCGAGAAATTGACCCCAAAGTGCGTTAATATGCTACATATCAACGCACTTTGGGTTCAAGAGGTCTAAAGGTGTCATCTGAGTTCTGCTTAAATACTGAGTACTGACTTATTTTCTATCTGCGACATTGGAGTATTTGAGGTGGAGTTCAAGATGGCGGTCAATACTTTAAGATGCTTAAGTGATAAAAATTTATTAATTTTACCACTTAAAATATCTAAAAATTGTGTTCATATAACAAATTTACGGTGGCATAAAAGTGACATTTGCATTTTTTTGTTTTTAGTTTTGTATACATATTTTATTTTAGTTTTGCATACATATTTTTTCAGTTTTGCATACATATTTTTTTAGTTTGGCATTCATATTTTATTTTTGTTTTTCGTACATATTTTATTTTTCATACATATTTTAGCCAATCAAAACAGTCTTCAAATCTCATAACAGCCCATAGTTGAGTATAAAACTAGCACAGTGGTTTGGTCACATTTCGGCCCATTTTTGGAATCGGCCCAGTCGTTTTCGGCCGGGCAAGTCTGGTTTCGGCCGACCCTTTTCGGCCCATTTTTTATATGTATTTTATACAATTATTGTTGTTTTTTTATTATTGAATACTATTATACTAGTGTTTATTTGGAAAGGGTTGTTGATTGGTGATCAGTTATTATTCCATGAAGATTGCACCACTCAACCCCACCAACTCAACTTATATGCCAGGTGTGCCGGCTCGAGGTCGGGGTCACACCTACAGGTCAAAGGATAAAGACTTGGGTTTCATGTCTGCTCCTTATCTCGAAACCCAATGAAGGATTTTAAGGCACCTTGTGACAAATGTAAACCACATCGAGACCATATGCAGAACTTTTCTTTGGGTTACCGCGGACTATATATTTATATATATACTAAAAAGTGGTGTTATTTTTTTTATACCTCCAATAATGAAAATGTTTGTATATTACCAAATGTAATTTACAGATGGCGAAGTGTTTGAAAATGGTGTAATTATCCAAACCTCTACTTTGCAATTGGCGTCATGTAAAAATATGTACGAAAAAACAAAAATAAAATATGTACTAAAAACTAAAATAAAATATGTATGCAAACTAAAAAGAATATGTATGCAAAACTAAAATAAAATATGTATGCAAACTAAAAAAGAATATGTATGCAAAACTAAAAAAAAGTATGTATTCAAAACTAAAAAAATATGTACGACAAACAAACAAAAAAGTATCCAAAAAAATACAAATGTCACTTTATGCCACCGTTCAAAATACTCTAGTACAGAAATTGTGTATTCCTAGAATTAAAAGATGCTGCGAAAAATATCCCGTTCTGTCGGTCATTTATTTGATAACTTTTGGTGCCATATTGAGCCCCATTTTAAATATGTTGGGAATGAAATAAAATGCAGTTAATATTTTTTTTCCAAAGAACTATAAAAATAATCTATTGCAATGTTCTGGTGAAACATCAAGTTTTTCGATCGGACTATAAATAGTGATTTTTACAAATACATTATTAAGCTTATCAACAAACTTAAGGGTTTTTGTAAGCTCCGTA